TCGCCCTGTTCAGGAGCACAGAGCCACCTCCGCCTATCAAATGCCACAGGCCCTGGTTCCTGCTTGTGCCCATCACTCCTGTTGGCTGAACAGCACGGAGGGACTCCTTTCTGTAACATAGTGCTTTGGCTGCTGTAATTCCGACTTAGAAAAACAGCTTTGCTTGGAGGGAAACATTAATTAGATGCAAAGAAGGAGTTATTTCATCCTTCACGTGGGGGCAATGGGGAGTGAGGGAGAGAAAAAAGTCCCACAAATAAATTATCTCCTATTTGTGCAATGTTTTATGCTTGTCAGCTGTCTATTGCCAGAGAACCACACTGTAGCTAAATACTTGTGACACCTTGCCCAATCAAGGTAGAGCAAAAGGATGTTATGGGAACCTCTTTGTGACAACCTGTGCTAGTTTACATTAGCTTAACCAATCGCTTTTTCCTGTGTGCTCGGAGAAATTTGTTAAATTAATTCAGTTGCAATTAGCAGATTTATGGGAAAGTACCCTGTTATCCTTTAATTGGAGAGCATAAAACTACAAACTGAATCCGCTAGTTCTATTTGTGTAATAGGCAATCTATCTACGACAAGATTTGATCGATGGAGTCGTATGATGCCCTTGCCTTGTTTTATATTGGCTGTCAGCGCTTAACTGGGACTGAAGTATCTGGGTAACAAAAATTGATATAATGACTTAATGCGCCTTATTCTCTTTGAGCTACATCAGTTTAGAGCACTTCTGAGAGAAAAATGTCTGGAAAATATCAGGGAGTCATTTATCAACCTGTTTTCATTAGCATACTGCCTAGCTCTGGCAAGGATTTGAATAAAAAAAAAAAGCAGGATGGTACAATTTATTTCAGGCCCCATATTTCTTGGATGAAAGGAGACCTCTAATAAAAGGAAAATACAGAAAGATGCTTTTTCTAGCTGGTTTTTCCCTAACTAAAAATCTTACCCCCAAAGCTTCTTTTATTTGTTTGAATTTTTGCTGTTAGTAATATGTTAGGGAACATATCCTTGAGAAGGTAATTTAAAAAATGAATGCAAAAATGCATGGTGGTCATGATACATGGAGGAAAAAAAATGCTCAACAATAACAACAACAAAAAAAACTTAACCCAAAATACCCAGACATGTAGCACATAGGTACCTACCTGTCTGTCTCCCTTTGCCTGGCTCTGTGTGCATGTTTGTGTGTTTATAATCCATAGTTAAACAGTGAACATGGAGAGATGTTCTTTGCATAAATGGGTGTTTTGTAGCATTAAAGGATTTCAGAAAGTTAAGATCCAGTGTTTTTAGCTCTGGAGTTGGAGCCAAAGGGAAATAGAAACAGATCAAAATGTTTGTATAGTGGGCAAAAACACATTTGGTATATGGAGTCATTTGTCCTACGCACCGTAGGATGCGAACCACAAGAGGTAATAATAACTGAAAGGCAGTTGTATGGGAGTGAGTCCTTTTTTGCATGAAATTTTTATGCATCAGTCAGCCTGCATACAGTGTGCCTAATGTATAAAATAAATTGGTGCATAAATCAGATTAAGAGCAGCATGTTGCCAACTTTCACATTTGCACACAGGAATTCAATATGGATATGGAGGAATTCCCATTTTTTAATCTCTAATAAGGTGTGGGGAATCTCTCAGGTAGGCTTTGCACACGGGGACAGTTTACTTACCTACCTTCCCCAACTCCCTGCCCCATACCAACAGAAGCGGTGGCGTGGGTGGTAAGGGCCATAGAGTGAGAGTTTTCTGGAATGCCAGCAGTATATGGAGGGTAGTGACACAGTATTTAAGATAATATTGCAGCCCTGTCTATAGCTCCTAATTATGTTGAGGAATTGGTGTGCCAATCGATAGTGATTTATGGTGGGGATAAGCAAGTGCACATTGCTCACATTGATCTGCATGTAAATTCCTTGACATAATAAGAAGTTATTACCAATGACAGTCACTGTCTGACTGCTAATTCATCAGCACATCCTTCCATTGGGGAGAGCCACACTGTCTGCATATGGGGGCCGGTTTGCCACACCATTTGCCTGCCGTAAGTCAGGCCTGTGCATCTGGTGTCCCAGGAGTGGTTATTGGGCAGGTGACAGTCGAGGTCACACCGACCATTTCTCTGTCAACCAACAGCTCTGTGATTAACCAACAAGACAGGGTATGTCTTGTTTTTTTTTTTTTTGTTCCTTCCCCCCAAAGGCAAAATTCCCTTAAAAAAAACTCCTATAGGAGTTTCACTCTGGGTTTAAAAAGTGTTGCCAATAGTTTTGTATTCTGTTTATTAAAGTTCTTAATACCATTTCCCCCAAAGCTGCAGATAGCAAATTATCATTGGAGTAAAACACAATTGCTTGATTTTTTTTACCCTTCGTACTCTTATTTATGCCTTTTAACAATTATTTTTTTTAAACTAGCTTTTTTGCTTCTTACATATTATATGCCATTTGTATGCTTGTGCATTTCTGCTGTCCCAGAGCTTTCTAAGAAATTTAATCGTTAAGCCTCTGTCCCTTTGTTCTTCATCTCCCCTTTCCTCTCTCACAAGGCCTCGTAAACTCATCCTTCACAGCTACACCTCTTTCTCCCTCCCTCTAGTGATCTTTGCTAACTGACCAGAAGAGTCTTTAGCTCCTCACAGCCGGAGTCCAGGTAGGAGGTGGCACCAGCTCTCTTTCACTTGCTTTCTGTGGGTAAAATCTCTCTGCTCTCTTCTCTAATGGTATATTACCTAGAACTAGCAGTTGGTTGTTTAAAATATTCTGTCATGTTCCTTTATGGCTTGATTCTTTTTCCCCCTTAAGAGTCTCTGCATCAGGAAGTTGTTCTTTAAACTGAATGCAGCTGAAGTATATACTCCCTGTTTTTTTTTTTTTTCCTATCTTTACTGGAGATGGGCATTGCATTTTTTGCAAGAGAGCCTTTGAGGAGTTGGAGAAATTGTGGTAAACCTTGAAAAGTGAGTGATTAGCTCCTGGTATATAGTACCTGCTTTACATTGAGAAATACTAAGAGTTATGAAAATTTAAGATTGTTTGCATAGGTAGGTGTTATAGCAGTAATAGTAAATAATTATAACAAAAACAATAATGTTAACTTTTGATGACCCATTAGCAGTTGTCAGGTTTCACTAAGTTATTCTGGAGTAACCACTCCCAAATCTCAAAAGAGTGAAACAGTTCAGATGTATGTCTTGTTCATGCTTTAGCTATGTTTGTGGCTTGCCTGAGGGACTCATTTTAGTCACACGGGAAATCAAGATGGCAGAACAGTCAGCATCTGGGGCATTGCTGGACACAGCCAAAGGGACGAGAGAGTTTTGAAGGATCTTGCGTTGGCAATTAAACATGCCACAGGTCATGGATAGACCTGATCACAAGGCCCCATTCTTACCCTGTGACTCAAAGAGGGAAGAACTAGAAATATTTGGTAAACAATTCTAATGACGGTTGATTAGCTCTTTGCAAAAGATAGAAAAATATCCTCGGAACATAAAAGCAGCATTATTTGCTTCAACAGTATACAGATTGATGATGACTGAAGAGATGTTGAATAATTGAGTAGAAAAACTCTAAAACGAGGAGCTGGTTCAACCTTCTCACATTTACAGACGAGGAAACAAAGATCCAGAGAGGAGAAAACTTTTCCAAAGACATGGCCCTGGAGAAGAGCAAATGAGGAAGCAAACCCACTTTCTTGAGTCCAGTGTGGCTTCTTCCTTTCGGCACTCCTCCCTGAAGTTTTTGGAGCCTAAAATTTCTTGTGCTCCTGACTGTTGAACCTCTGTGTGCTGCTGCTGCACCTCCTCACTGCCCCTCTGCTGGCCTCAGTCCTTCATGGATACAGCTCGCCTGGTCCAGCTACACTGAATCCGTTCAACGTCTCGTCCTTTACCTTCCAGACTCTGGTGCCACTGTGGTACCATTTTCCTCTAGATTTGCTTGATTTTTATTTCAAGTTCTAGAATTTGAATGCATATCTTGAATTTTGCAAATGTGACACAGGACATACAGGATGGTGCTGAGGTAGTGGTGGGATATTCAATAGGGTTGCTACAAGCAGCAGGACACCACCCAGTGAACGGCTGATTGATCTGTTCGTTCAGAGTATGTATACCTGCCCTGCCTTCAGAGAGGGAGGGAATGGTGCTTTGGTCTGAAGAATGATTGGATGTTTTGTTTGTCTGTTTCAGTAGAGTCAGAAGACCATTTTGATTGACATTTCTACTGCTTTACTTTACCTTTTTTAACTAGTTTAAGTTTCTGCCTCAGACATTGGTAGGAGGTAAGTAGACTCCAGGTTTAGACATGGACAGAAAACCTTACAGCACTTATTGTTAATAGGTATGGGGGCTATGCTTTCCAAATGGTTTTCTTTCTAGAAGGGTTGACTCCTCTAGAAGGTAGAGGAGTTTTAGTTATTTTCTAATAGTCAGAATTGTGGACAGAAACATCTGTTAGCAGAGCATGTGTTATAATCCAAAGTCTGGCATTTTGTTATTTGATTCTAAGTGGATAATTTCTATGGGAGACAAGGTAGAGGGCGCTGTATCCGTGTGGCATCAGAAAAACTGTATTGCCAAGCCTTATCAGGTCCATGGACTTTCATGTCACCCACCATGTTCCATTTGAAATTAGAAACAAAAGCTCAAGAGAAGCTAACCTTCATGTGGTGTCCCTTATGTGACAGGAGCGCAAGTGCAAGTCTCTGCACATTGTATCTCTTTGTGCATTTAAGTATGGGTTTGTGTATTTCTCATTTGCTCCCTAAAACAGCCTTTGGAAGTAGGTGTCATTACTTGGAGAACACCAGAGTCCATCCTTTGGTTTAACCATGTAGCCATCTTAAGTGTGATACATGAATTAATTCATTTTATCCTTAAAGCAACCCTCTTGAGTAGATACTCTTATAATCCTCATTTTGAAAACAAGAAAACTAAGCCTTATGCAAATTGAGTCTAATGTGCCTAAGACCACATAGTTGCGGGGGGGGGTGGGTAAGTGAGGTTCAATCCGGGCAGTGTGGCCTCAGCGCTGGTATTGGACCCCTATCCTAGGTTGCCTTCCCCTCTGCACCCACCCCTAGTAGGGAGAGCATATGGAGCAATGGGATGTGAACCAGGGTACAATCAGAGGATTTGGACTCTAGTTTGGCTCCAACACTGACTGTAGCCTCTCCTGGCCTCACTTTCCCCATCAGTAAAATAAGAATACTCACCCTTCATTCAGAAGCAGTGTCCTTTGAGTGGGGAACCTGGGCCCAGGGAATATATCATCAGAACCATGGGGTGTGCTGGAAAATGGTGATACAACTGTATTTCTAATTTTTATAATCTAAAAGTGAGATAGGAATAAGCTGGATCAATATTTAATATTTCAGCTGACCTTGCACCTCTGCTGCCTGCTACAGACACTGGGGCTGTTCTGGAGGCCACCTGGGAATTCTTTTTGAATGGCGGTCAATAGTGACACCTTCACCTCTTTTTTGTCTTCAACATTTGCAAATATTATTATGGGTTCTGGCTACAGGATGTCAGCACTAAACTCAATTTTATTTTTTAAATCCTCTAATAACCAAACCTTTATAATACTTGGTTATGAGTTGGGGATTAACTACAAAAATTTATGGTTTCAGAAGAGGTTTTCTGATTAGGTCATGAAAAACAATTTGAAAGATTTTTTGTTCATTAGTTTCTTCACATTATAAATGTGACCTCCCGGTTTTCCTTTTATACAAATTCAAGCTTGCCTGCCTCCCTTTCTCCCTTCCTTCTCCCCTTTCTTACTTCTCTTTCTCCCTCCCCTTCCCTCTTCTGGCAAGTTTTGTTAAAGAAAAAATTTTACACCATCTCCTTGACATGGGTCAGTTCTGGTGTGCTTCTGAGGGTATCAGAATCACCTGGATCATGGTAGCCAGTATATGTACTCTGTAGTATTTTCTGTGTGTTATGCCCAATTTGCTGTTACTGCCTGGCAGTGATGGAGACCAGTTTTGGCTACCATAGCATAGTTCTCTTTTGCCAGCTTCCTCAATCTGGGCAGTTGTTGGTGAGGATGACCAATTTTGCCTTACTCTGTCTCACCATATTCAGAGTCTGCTAACCCCAGCATGATTGAGCTGCAGTCAAGCATTTACTGATCTCAATGACTTTATATCCACTTTATGGCCATTATCTTCCTGCCTTAAATGTGGGATGACCCTCAACTAAGAATAACTACCAGGATGGCCAGGAGTGAGAAAGACTCAAGCTTACTTAATTTGCCCATTTCTAATACCCATTGTTATTAAAAACCTAACACGTTTGGCCACAAATGCATTTGAGAGGATGCTTTCTGAAAGAAACTCATGCGCTGGAGAGAACACTTTGAAAGTAGATGTTTGGAAACATTGTCGTGTGAGCTCAATGCTGAAAACTGAGTCCAGGTGTCACTTATAAAAACACACAACTCTGCATACTTTAAATTTGGAAAAGAAACTTTCTGGCTATTTAAAAAATATGCCAAAGGAGGAGTTGTAGTGAGTTTTCAGTTCATTTGTTAAAAATATAAAATTGTCACATATTTTGGTTAATTGACATCAAGAAGTGTGGACATTTACCCACTAAATTGAAACAATAATCTGAGTGTCATTAGTTAATATGATTTAAAAATAGTGGCATGATTTAATAAACTCAGCCACTGAACAGTTTCTCCCTTATGTACTGTGATACTGAATAATGGCCCCTCAGAAATGACATATCCTAATCTCTGGAGCCTACAAACATTCTCTTATGTGGAAAGGGATCTCTATAGATATAATGAAGGACTTTGAGATGGGGAGATTATCCTGATGGACCCTAAATGCTGTCATAAATATCTTTATGAGAGAGAGAGAGAGAAAGAGAGAGAGAGAGAGAGAGAGAGAGATATTTGACACAGAAAACAGAGAAAAAGGCAATGGAAGCAGACAATGGAAGCAGTAATGTGGCCACAAGTCAAGGAATACCATAAGCCACCAGATGCTGGAAAATACAAGGAACACATTTCTATCTATACCCTTTGGGAGAAACTTCTTGATTTAAGCCCAGTGGTACTGACTTTGGACGTTGGTCACCAGAACAGTGAGAAAATAAGATTTTTCTTTAAATGTTACCAAGTTTGTGGTAATTTGTTATAGCAGCCATAGGAAACTAATACATATCATCTAAGTTACTTTCTAAAAGCTATATTCATTTATCAAAACGAAAGTGTGTTAAACTGAAATTTAAAATTATTAAGTTGCTTTTTTACACAGTTAAGCCATATTTTAAAAGGTAATTATGCATTATTATGTGATATCTTGTGAAAAAATCATCTCTATATTGCATAAAACAAAATATGTGGTGACCTAAAAGGATTTTGGCATCATTAAATAGAATTATATATATAAAACCATCATTTTCTTTTTACTCCTTGCATTATATGTTGTGTATATTTTATAAATAATTGGCATTATTAATTTATAAGTTATATGAGTTTCTTTCACAAAGAGAGCATATAACTTATAAATTGATATGGAAAAGCATGTAACTTTATAAATTAATGTGTTGTGGTGCCTGAGTTCTACAAATTTGCTCTAGGAGATTATTGTCAAGAAGAAATGAGATATGTAAAAAAATATGCAAACAAACTCCTGGAACATGGTAGCATTCTGAGTGTATTTGTTGGGTCATTGAATGATGGATAATGAAGAAGAAGAGGCTCCTGGGTTGAGCAGTAGGCCCAGGGGAAACAAGTGGCCTCAGGTGTGCTGGATTCCAAAGCCTGTGATCTTCTGTCTGTGCCATCATTATAATGAACTGTGCTTATTGAAGCTGTCTGATAATTTCTGGAAGACCAGCCAGAGAGTCTTAGGGTGAACATGTAGGGCCCACTTGTCCTCTTTTCAGCATTGGGTGGGTGGGGAGGAACAGGAAGGGCAATAGGACATTCCTGCATTGGGTGTGACTGTATTGACATAATTTTTTTGGGGGGGGTGGAGGGGCGGGTACTGGGAAGGGGATTGGGAGGAATTTGTGGAGGCCTGGGCTGTGGCTTCCCTTGGATCCTGAACATCTATTTTTGTGAAAGTCACTTATAATTGCACATTCACAGTCGGACCTGCAAACCATTGTCTCTGAGAGGTCACTGCACAGTACCAGGCACGTGATAGATGCTCAGTCATTATTTGCCAAATGAAAGAATGGCAATTTTCAAGAGAGAAGGTGTTGTGTTATTTGGATCCTTACACCTTATCACAGTACCGGGCATCCAAGAAATGTTGGTTGAACTGAGCTCAGCAGAGAGGTAGTGGGCCAAGGCTTTAGGGGATATGACCTAGATGCAGGGCATTAGGTCTCCTCCCCTTGTTCCCTCCTCTCTGTCCCAATGAGGTCCAGGTCAGTATATGGAGAGGCCAACTGGGGAAGGGGGTGGTGTACATCTGTTGGCCTTTAGAAAAGGAAAAAAAAATCAAAGTACAAATATTCAGATTTATTAATGCCAAATATTTCTAGAAATAAAAAACGGAAAATTTTGTGCCATATTTTTGAAACGTCAGAGCAAATCCAGTATGCAAGATAGGCAGATACAGTGGTACCTTTGCATTCTGTTTTAGATTTAGGCTTCTTAAGAGATTTCTGTATGAGTTGTGGTTATAGTATTCATCTGTGTATCTCATTTTTGACCCGAGAGTGAGAAGAATAATTTGGAGGCGATGAAAATAAATACTCACCTGACTATTAAGTACGGAAATGGGTCTCAGGGCTACAGGATCTCAGCCCCACCATCTGAAATGTAAATATCTCCTGAAATTCCCATTTAAGAGCAGATTTCACCTGCAAGTAGACTGTTATATCTTCCTGAAAAATATATACACTCTAGTGAGGGAATAAACACATCATTACACTTTCATGACAGATAAGCTCGGCTCTGTTCGGGTGTAAACTCATTTTTCTTGGGTTGACCTTTAAATAGTATTGTGCTATTGTATGGGATTTAAATCAATAATTTTGTCAAAGCAAAATATACTGCAAGGTTTTTTTTTTTTTCTTTATCACTTAAACAGTTCTGTAAACTCTCAAGGAGTAATAGATTTCTACACACTTTTCCCAGGAAGGAAAGGGAGGAAAGATGGGGGTGAGGGAGGTGGGTGGGGGACGGGGAGAAGCATCTTATAAAAGTCACTTAGCAGCAATGAGGCTGAAGCTGGGGCTGGCTGCGGATTTGCAGATCTGAGAGAGTTCCGTTTCCTCTTCCAGGCAGCTGAGATGGAGGGGCTGGTGTGGGCTGTAATTAGTGGTGTAATACCTTTTCTGCATTCCTGTTGGAAAGTGCCAAAGTGTCCCAGGTGTGAGGAGGTTAAAATGAGAAGTACCCAGTAGTTATGAAGCAGCAATAATGAGTTTCCTTCTACTTACCGTGGATTTGTGTGATATACAGCTTGCAATTAAGCATGGCTTGGTGATTCAGTGATTAATGTATGTACAGCTCCTAAAGGGAGGAAAGCCGCCCTCCCGCCACATCCTTCATGATGTTTACAGCTGGGTACCTATTAACAGGAAGATGGAAAGGGCCATTTACAATTCAGTAACCTTTATGACAGTGAACTCTTTAATCAGCATTTTATTTCCTTTGTAACACTTTAGTCATCTACAAATGTCAGAATAAAATAGGGCCATGAAATATTTAGGATTGGCATGTGGAAATTGACTTCCCCTGATTTAAGCTGCTCTGTCTTTTCATTTTGTTGTTTTGGGAGCTTTTACTTTTATTGAAAGACAATTTATAACTAAATGCTCCCAACAGTGACTGGCATTAGGGTAGGAGAAATTTCAGAGAGCCAAGTTCTGGTTCTATAAAATGTGTTGATGCTTGCTATATTGGGTAATAAGTTATTCAAATAAAAACATTAGCAAAGGGTTTGCATTTCGGAGCGGCATTTAGTGGAGGTACAGCGGACTCTGCCGAGTTTATGACAAAATGCCCTGACATATTTTAGAAAGGTAATTAAGTATGAAGTACATCCATAATAATTTAAGTCAGTCATAGTATGTACCTGAAATATGCATTATTGTCTCACATTATTTTCTTAGTGGGATTCTGGGACTTTTTCAATTCAACAATAACCACCTTTTAGCTTTCTTGTATTGTTGCCAATGTATATAATACCTATTAGCCCAATCACCACGTTTTTATTTTTCAAAGGACCCTTAGTGATATTTTATTAAATTGTTGCATTATTTTTTTCTTACTCGTATCTTTTGCTAATTCATTTTAACACAATGAACCCAAACACACCTCAAAAGTTGTGTTTTTTTTTTTTTTTAAATAAGTCTTGGACAACAGCATGTTTTAGGAATTTGGCATGGTGCAGCGTCCTCCTTACCTCTTACTTCCAAAGGTTCCTGTTGACCATTTTTTGACTTTGGGATGTTCTTTGCAGGGTTAGAGGTAGAAGCCTGGTTTCCCGTTGGCCATATGAGGCCACCTTCCATACATACTCTTCTACAAGGTGTTGAGAAGGTGGTAACTTTTCTGCTGCATCGAAACCATGCATGGAACCATTGTGGTGCCCCGGAAAGATCAGCTCTGTGTCCTGAGCAAGCTCCTTACCAGCCTTCCGCTTTCCCATTTTGTACACTGAACTGGTTTACTGGATTAGGCTGCTTCAAGGCAACTGTGAGGGAGAAGATGGGAAAGGGAAAAGACCAAGAATAAATTAAGGCTGAAAGTTCAAGCTGCCCCAAGTGGAAGGGTTCTATGACTGAACTCTGTTCAATATGAGTATTAAAGAGAATGTCTTTTCCTAGACAATGGGAGTGACCTTGTCTTATGAATGGGTTGTTGCTAAAAAGTTAAAGCATATTTTGAAGTATTTAGCAAGAAATTAAACTCTTTGTGTTATTTTCTCTTTCCCTTCAGAAAAGGACAGGATCCCCCTGTGTCTTCTGGTAATAGGACCCCAATCTACAAAGTACCAGTAATAGTTATTTGAGTTGGAATATTTACAAAGAAAAATGAATTATTAATTTCAGGTTTGAGACTTTTCCCTGCTATGTTTGGGGAATAGGAAAGAGAAAAGAGGGAGGCCCGAGGACTGGAAGAATGTGCTGGGGAAGAATATGGGCTCAGGTTTGGAGTACTTAGGAGACGAGCCCCTGTCTGTGTTTCAAACCCCAGTGCCCTGCCCCATCTCCAGTGGCCTCAGTGGCTTGCTTTTGAGATGGATCTTTGGAACCGTGCAGTGGGTGGAAGCCAGCAGGCCTTTATATAAGGCTACAGCAAGGACTCAGACCCCTCAGACTAGAGAATGAGAAATTGGAGTCTTCTCATCAGAGTGACGTGGTCACCTGGTGACACTGGAGGAGGAATCCAGTGACCTGAGTCAGGACTGAAGCCCTGTGTGGGTGACAGTGAAGTACTGACTCTCAGGGCAGGTGGGGACATGTGGGGGATGATTGGAAAAGGAGGATGGGTGGACAGCAGAGCAGTATTTCAAATGGTGTTGGTTCTACCCCTTGTCACTGTCTCACAAAAGGTCCCTGTAGTGGCAACTTTGATGGCAGGAAGCAGCGAGGGGCCGGTGAAACCTGGCTGGCTGTGGATTTTGCTCTTGTTTTTTTTTCGATTTTTGATTCATTTAGATGTCTTATTTTTGAATCTGTAAAACCACTTTTTAAATTACAAAGGTACCGTGAGAGATAATCCTAGGAAGTTTGAAGAGCAAATGAGAGAATACAAACAATTGTCTTTCATCCTCCCACATGATCACAACTATTGTTATTTATGTGTATTCTTTGTCTTTTACCAGCAGTATAATCCTTGTGGTTAAAATAAGAACCACATGTCCGTTTTGTATCCTGCTCCTTTCTCATGAAATGGGATCAGATACATTTTGCCATGTTGCTTCACTGTCTTTTTAATCATCCTTTTTTGAAGACCGCATACTATTCTATCCAAAAGCATTTCATTATTTTAGAAATAACTTAACACATATTTAAAAATTCTAATATGGGCTATTAAGTTTACTGCAAAATATATATATTAACCGTAACAACAGTGTGATATTTGTCCTTATCACTGCTTATAAATTTTCCACATTTTGGCTCATTGCTGTAAGAACATAGTCACAGTTATAGAATTACTATGTGTAAGAGACCCTGTTGTATTGTGGGCTTTGCCCAGTTATAGCTCAAAAGCTTTTAGCAGCTTTAGGTGAGTTTCTCCCAGGTTTGAGCTGTGGAGCTGTTCTAGGCTCAAAGCTTTCACAAAAAAGCTTGTGTTCCTATAGAGAATATCAGATATTTTGAAGGTTCAGGGGGATTTAAAGTCAGGCACATGACACTATTCACTTGGAATTTTGCTCTATTAGATAACAGAACATGAGAAAGCAGCAAACCGGATGTGATGAGTGGTGAGAGGCATGGAGACTGACATCTGTTGAGCATCCAGATGATGTTAGATTGTGTCAAGTCTGGGACCTCATTTAATCTCAGGACTATGGATTGGGAATTATTGGTGCTACTTTTCTATTATGAGGAAACTAAACTAGGTGTGGTTCAGAGACCTGCCCGAGGACATCCGGCTTCCATGGAGTCAGAATTTGAATTCAGGTGCACTCTGCCAGGGGTACCCTTTAGATGAAGCAGTGGTGGGGACCCCACTGCACTCTAGGATAAGCATAAAACGGTGGCCACGACCTGTCCCCTTTGTAATACCAGAAACTCTTATTCTAGTTACTAGAATTTAGACCTTCAAAGTGACTCTTGTTCCCTTTTGCAGACACCACTCCCTGCTTTATGCAGTTCTTTGAAATCACAAAACGTATTTTTGCCTTAGAACCTTGGTGTACTGGCAATTTGGAGTAGGCTGGCTGGAAAAGAGCCAGACATCCAGGGGTTGTTAGGCTTGTGTGTGTGTGTGTGTGTGTGTGTGTGTGTGTGTGTGTGCGCGCGCGCGTGCGTGCATGTATATCCCTCAGGGAGCTGGAGTCTGAATTTCGTTGGTCCCTATCAGAGTTCACTTTCTCCCTTTGTGCTTGCCAGAAGGTGGTGAAGGGACCGTAGATGTGTTAGGGAGCACAGGACACCCTGGATTTGGGGAAGCCAATTTGGGAAACACCATGAACGTGGAACCCACCCAGACAGAGGGATGCTCTGAAAGAACCATCCAGGTCCTTGGGGGAAACAGTTCCCATGTCCAGTCAGGAACAATGAAAAGAGTGATGCTCACGGTTAAGCCACAAGTTCAAGATCACAACACCTAAGGTAGTCAGGCAGATTTAGAGATGAGGGTATCATCTCCACATTGAAGAGCTAGATGGAAAATGCAGATGAGAGATGACCCCAGATGGCAAGCAGGGAGGCACAGGGGTGAGCTTGGGGCTCAGCCTTCACCCTGCTTGGGCTGGGTCTGGGCTGTCTCCTTCCTTTGAGGCTGAGGGGAACTGGAATGGCTATAGGAGGAGGACGGTTTTCCACCAATGGCTTAGGAGCCAAACTAAGGAGGGAATATAGGGTAGTAAGGGACTTGGTGGTTGGGGGCCCACAGATGTGTGGGTCCTGGAATGACTCTGTGACCCAGCTCTTTTGCCTGACAGTACTGCATTTGAACCTCAGCCTGGTTTTTCTTCTTAACAAAGATGGGGACAAGGAATCCGGGTCCAGCTTTCTTCCCACCCCTTGAAGATGAAACACGGTACCCCCACCTGCACCCGGCAGCCCGGCGGCCTCGTGGTCAGGATTATTTAAATGTTTATCCTTCCCCACTTCCTGACCTTTCTTGTTCAGTCCTAGTTCCCGGGTCCCGCTTGCTTTGTGTTTCATGAGCTTAGCAAACCGTGGCCTCCAATTCCCTAGTTCTAGTGTTTTCACTTAAGATGAGGAGTGATGAGCCAAAGGTTTCAGGCTCAATCCTTGAGCAAAGGGCCGCTCTGACAGGGATTATTATTTATTTGTCATCTTGGATGTAATAAGCTGTAGGTACAGCTTCGAGAGCCCTTGATTTATTGCGCTGTCTGCTGCCACTAGCGGGACGCCTGCTCCACCACGCAGGATGAATACCACACTGTCAGCTCCGTCGATCTGTCTCCGCCACTGCTCCCTCTCTCATAACACATTCCCATTTCATGCCAGAATACATAAACAATCTTTCATTATTTTGATGCCTTTTTCATATTTGTTCTTTACAGAACATAAAGTTTGAATTTATGGGTTTCCTTTACATTATTTCAACACACTCCACCATTTTCCGGGTTTGTGGTTTAACTCTCAGAAATTGGCTGCCAGGTGATTTAGTTATTTTGGCTTTCTAGTTTTATAGTTATTTAATATCGCAATGCCAGATCCTGAGAAAATGGAGCGCACGAGAGGTGTGGGATTTGCCGTGGAGGCTCTTGTCATGAAGGCCACGTGATCCCGGGGATGAGGCGTGGAGGTTAAAAGCAAGACTTGGGAGACGGGCGATCATTGGCTCGGTATTTTTAAAAAATCCCACCTTTAAAAAATAGTATTTGTATGATCAGCCAGCCCACAGCCTTGAAAGAACTTGAAAGCAAAGAAGGGATATCTGCGGTTGGGAGTTAACAAGGTTTTCTAATTGAGTGGCCGGGATGCCCACCCCGTTCCGTCTGCTCTCTCAGAAGCAGCTCCCAGCCTGCTGTCTTTCACCTGCTTCTGCGTTTCAGAGGCTTGGCCACATGGCCTCGTTGTAAAGAATTTCCCTGTTTTTGCCTTTAATTCTCCTAAACGGCAGAAGAGCTTGTGTGCAAAGGCATTCACATAAAGACAGGAAGTGGCTGCCTCCTTTTCCCTGTCAGACGGAGGACAGGCGTGGAGAATGCATCATGCACCTGCTTCCCCGTTCACTTGTTGACATTGTCCTGTTGGCATGGATTTCACCCCCACTCACAGATCCATCGTCCATCTCAAATTTCACCATCTTCTTTTTAACAGAACCCAACAGTACTCTTATGTATGGTTTAAAAGGAGCACCTAAGTGTTTTCGATTTGTAAAGGTTTTCCCCGGTTATTTTCCTTGAAATTAAATTTTCAGAGAGATCACTAGAGAAAGCAACGTGTAGAGTGCATTGGTGATGCTGCTGAGGGGGGTATTATCTACATGCGCGAGAGAAGCGTGTGTGTGTGTGTGTGTGTGTGTGTGTGTGTTGTGTGTGTGTGTGTGTGCATGTGTGTATGTGTGTGTCTTCGTCGGCTTCTGGGGTTGGTCTGTGCAGAAGCCTTTCACTTCTCTCGACGATTCCTGACAAATACAAGCCAGGGGCAGGTGAGATCATTCTCCAGTCAAGGTCAATTAATCATGCACAAGTCATGACATTTGGGAAGTCCAGGTCCTTCTCAGTGACAGTGCTAGTGCTGATTCCTTGGCTGAGACTCCAGCTCATTTTGGGGAAGGTCTCATTCTCCCAAGCTAAATTGTGGGTGCATGTCTTTGCCCTTCCACTCAGCCCCTTTGAGGGGAGGGGGCTCAAGGTGAAAGATGTTCTACCTTTGGAAAGTTCCTCTAAACCCTGTCTCCTCCCCGAAAGACACTAATGAATGTGGATTTGAATGTCATAAATGCAGGATCATTTTGCCACTCCTTGCTTCCCTTGGCAGCCTTCATTAGAAAAGTCGGGGATTTGCTTAGCTCACGTCACATTGCACAGGCCTGTTGTGGCTGGAAGGGAACCCTAGTTAATTAATATGAGAAATTTGTTTTGTGTCCCTGGTTTGAAGAAAAAAAAGAGAGAGAGAGAGAGAGAGACTGTGCAGGTTGGTGTTGTCAGCAGAAGCTGCTTGTCACTTTGACCTGTTCTGTTAAGTGTTTGATGTGTTTTCTCAGAGTAATCTGTGAATAACATTATAGCCCAGCAGAAGAGAAACCGAGGGAGCAATAGCAGAATTAATATCTGGGAGCGTTGATAATTATATATCAGAATCTAATTTTTAGCACAGAAAATGTGTTAATGACAGAGAGGAAAACAAAAACCACTAGCTTCTCCCAGCAGGCCCCAAAGTGTCATTTATTATTTCTCAGCTGGATATCTATCAAGTTTATGGGTTAATTTTTCTGTAGACTGTTATTTATGGGTTTTTGTTTGTTTTCAGCCATCATTACTAACAATACGGTTAATAGCAATCATTTGTTACCCAGCACTAGGCGTGATGCCTCAGATGAGAGCACTGAACTGAGAATACTCATTTGGTAGCTGAATAAGGCCCTGACAGGGCCCATTTATAACAAGCTCATTCTATAATGTCCATCCTATTAATAAAATTTTGTTGCTGTCTAATTAGAGATGTCTGATGTGTATAGGAGCACGGCAGAGGAGACTTTCTGCTGCTTTTTTTTTTTTTTTCCTTTTTACCCTGGTCTCTTCTGTCACAGGCACAGCCCATCTGGGCACGTAGGTTCGAGAAACAAAAGGAATGCCTGGTGAGCAGTGGATGAAGGTTCTGGATGAGATTCGTGGCAGCCGTGCTGTGTGAAGACTCAGAGGCACCTCTTTTCTTAGGTTTTTACCTGCCTGGGTTAGTCATTTGCAGTTTGCCTCTCAAATCCACAGGGGTGCAAGATGTGGCCGTAAGACACTGTGATTGATTGCCTAACAAAGATAGCCCAAACTTAAGCATCCAAGTGCGCTCTGAGCTCTTCGAAGCCTTTGCCTTGAAAGGCAATGCATTTATTCCTAGGCCACCCACAACCTTCTGGAAATTTCACTCAGTTTGTTTGCAGGGTTTCATTCAATAAAAAAGTGAATAGTCTCCCCAGATAAATATTTGGAATGATATATGCAGTCATCAATCTCAATGTTTTGTGATCACACTTTGGATTAAGGAGCTGATTCACTTTAGTCATTTTTATCCCAGTGGATCTTTCAGGCTTTTTTTCCTTAATTAGGAAGACGCTTATGGGTGATGTGATAGGATATGTCCATCTGTTGGAGGAGGGCTTGGAATCCCAACAGCTACCTTTAAATCCTGATGCCCTTACTTAGCAGTGTTGTGATCCTGGGCTGGTTTTCTGAATTGCTCAGTTCCAAAGACAGCAGGTATCAGTCCTAAGGGATCGTGGACTGTTAGGAAGATAAAGTCACATATGAAAATGGCTTGCAGGTACCTCCCAAATGCTTGTCCCAGTTGTCATCAGTTACAATTCACTTTCATTTTCAGAGCCTACCTCGTTGAGCTTCTAAAATCATTTTTATCATCGTTGTATAAATAGTTTTACTAACTAATTTTATTGCTCATATTTCAAGTGAAATTTTTCCTCCACTCTAAAAGTGAAACTTAAATCCATAGCACTGGAAAGTTTTTATCATCTGATTATGGCTTATTTTGAAGTTTGCTCTGTTTAGGGGGTGGGGAATAAGAGTTGAAAATTCAGGGAAGAAACATTTTATTAGTTTGGTGGGTGCTTGGAATTATACACCTCTGAATTAAGAGCACTCGCTCAGGCAATACACTGAAGAATGTTTTAAAATAGTTTTGTTGCTAGGTAACTGTTTTTTTTTTCCTCTTTAGTAAGCTTCCCCCCAGCCCTGTGAAATGTTTTGCAAATGATCTTTTGAATAAAAATGATCATCTAATATTTTTTCCCCCAGTCTGTTTGATTTTGAAGGTAATTTTTTTTTTTTTTTTAAGTTATAGCATTGAAAAAATTTCCATCCTAAGCTTGGTGATGAGAGTGCTCTGTGGAGTTGAGCTGGCCCAGGCTTGGGTCATCTGCTGGTTTTTCCCCTAAACTGCACTTGACTACAGCTTATCAGCCCTTAATTAGTGCTACATTTTCTCCCTGTGATTTCTATTGATGTGGAGTACGGGAAGCTGGATTGAGCCTCCACCTGACTGGTGTGCAAATTGTTTTAGAAAATTCAGCAAACATCTCTCTCCATTATCTCTCCCTCCACAACCCCCACCCCTCCCCGACCTCGTTTCTCTCTCCTTGTGTCTCTCCCTCTTCCATTCCCCTGGATAGGAAAGGTGAAAAGCAGGACGATAGGAATCAGGTTGAGTATTAGTGTTTTTGCTGGCCTGTGCAATAGAAAACGACAAGCGGCCGGCTGGGCCCTCCGTCAGCAGATCGCAGATCTGGAAGCAGGAGGTGGCAGCCAGGGGAGGGGGGCTCCCCCGTGGCCTCGGGATGGCTGCAGTGTGATTGTGAGAGCCGGGATGAAGTCAGCACTGACAAAGTGAGGGGATTGATGGATGGACAAAGCAGGGAACTGGATGTGAGAATGGATGAGGGCAGAGGGGGAATTTAACACAGACAAACAGAATGAAAGACAGAGAGGAATTGCCTGCTAAAGTATGCCCGCCCTCAGCTCCCACAGCAATTTACTTACTGCTAACTGAACACCCAAGGATTGTTTGCATCTTTGCAGATTTTCCTTCCAGCCGAGGCTGAGGGAGGCTTGCAGATTCCAGCCAGTGTGTGTGTGCCAGGCTTTCTCTTTCAACATCCCCCCGCCCTGCCACTATTCACACACCCTCATTTAATTCAAACCGAGCAGCTGATTATTTCCAATAAGTTCACACAGTGTTTCTGCAGAATAAATTTTCTTCCTCTGCCATTATTTTAATGTTTCCACTAAATTTACCTTAATCAGTTATTGTTGTCAAAGTGTAGTAAATAATAATATTTACCTGCTCCTTTTGAAAATGTTTCTGGAAAGAGATCCATTATTGCCTGAGGAAGGCGTTGGAACAGTATTGTACACTTCTTTTGCTCAGGAAAAAGTTAGTGACTTTCTACCTTATCCAGGCTGTGCACATGGGTGAGTGACTCAATATTTAGTGCTTGTAACACTACAAAAAAAAATTCTCTACCCCAGTCCCCAAATGTTATTTCACTAGCCACCCCCCCAAAAAAAAATTGGAGAGGAAATAAATATAATTTTTTTTCTCCTATGAAAAATGTGTAGTATTGCCTATTTTACAACAAGTTTGCTATTTACAGAATGGCTCTTAAGAAAATAAGACCCTTTGGTTAAAAAGCTATTTGAGGATTTTATTTTATAAACAATATAATTGGCAATTGTATAGAGCAACAGAAGATGATAAATCAAGTTATTATAGTTGAATACCATACCCACATGTATACTTTGTATTTAGGATTTTGTTTTCTTGTGTGAATAAAGAAAATGGGTTTATGAGACTAGTTTATTTAGAGGCTTTGGGTAAGAATTAGTGTTATTTAAATTCCAGAAGATAAACCTAAAAAAAATGAATAAATAAAGCCCCAAACACAAGAATGGCTTGGAAAGTAAAAAGGAAACCTACCCCAACTTAGTGTCAGCCTTGAGTTTCCAAGTGAGACATTATATTTTTAGTATTTCCAAGAAACATAGAATCTTATGGAGCCTGGGAAGTCTCTCATTTTGGAAAAATTGAGCTGGGTTTTATATTTTAGAATGAAGGCTGATGGGTCTACTATTTCTTTTATCAACTTTCTTCCATAAGTACAATTTGTCCCCCCAATACCTAGTCTCTCTTCCTCTTTGTTTTCCCTCTCCCTAAGTAAATGGCCTGGAAATACAAAAGAGTCTCTGAATTTTTGTTTGTTTGCTCTATATTCCAAAAGAACCTCCTGCCCTCAGGGTTGCTGGTGGACGTGGCCACACCCCTGGTTGGCAGGCAGGTGTTCTTTTCCTGGTCACACACCTCCAGAGTGCACTCTTTCTTTCCTGGGATTCCACAAAGACTCTATGTTCTCTGCTTGGCTCTTATAGGCCCCTGGGATGCAGTAACAGCTGCCTGCACAGTGAAAGCCAAGGTCTTGGGAGAAGGTCTGTGGGCTTGCTAGAAATGATGAATGGGAGTTGGAAAAAAAAAAAAGAAATTAATAAGTTATCCATCGCATGGAGATCCATGAGACGTATTTTCAGAAATGGCATAGATTATCTATCACTCTGATGATGTTCAAAAGTGGATTTGTGCTTGTGTTCACACCCACATTTTTTGTGCAGCCTCAAGGCTGTGGCAGCCTGGAAGCCATGTCACCCCCCCCTCACCCCCGCCCTGTGTTCATTGAGCATCGTTTGGGGATGATATGAGTTCAGAGCTGGCTAACCGCTTGGATATCATATTGCATATTAATCCTTGGTATTGAGTAATTTTTCAAAGGTTGAAAAAGCTGACAAGTGATAAAATTAAGTTTACTATAGCCGGCTCACATGTGGCCCAGAGATACAGCTCAGGGTAACATGTTACACAGAAGTCAGGTCCTTGGGTATTGCTGGGAACTCTGGGAAGTCTTGGGGGGAATGGGTAGTAACTCATCTCTCATCTCGTAGTGGAACCTTGATTTGTTGAGGCAGGTCCAGAAGAATTGGTTTCTTTTGTCCTTGTTAGGGATCCTGTGGTGTCCATGATCTCCACAAACCATTTTCCAGCACTCTCCTGTGAATCACCACACATCCCACAACCAGTGAGCAGGTGTCTGAGCCCTATCTCCTTAGACATCCTCAAAAGTAGGGGAGACTGAATAATTTATATAACTTATTTTAAAGAAGGGCTGAGGAGGATTCTAGTAGGTGGCCCAGAGACTTACCATTCCCCTCATGTTCCTTTGGGGTTAGGTGCATCCCTCCAAATCTCTTGGACTTTTGAGCCCTTTGATTTAGTAGCAATAAACAAAAGAAGGTTCAAGTCCATTTTATTTACCCCTCAGTTTAACTCAGTGTTTCTCCCTTATAAATGCAATATATATTCACTATAGAAAGTTTGAAAAGATAGGATGGCTGTTTTTTTTCCTTCAGATTTTTCCTATCATCCAGAAATTACCACGGCTAAAATTTTGTTGAACATCCTTCTTTGTTTTTCTTCTTCTTCTTCTTCTTCTTTTTGGTGCTGGGGGTTGAACCCAGGGCCTTGGGTATGCAAGGTAGGCATTCTACCAACTGAGCTATGTCCCCAGCTCCATTTTTCCTTAAAATATATATATAAAATTTTAGAAAATTATAATTATTTCCTAATCTTAGTTTGCACTATGCCTTTGCACTTGTCATGTATTTTGATTTTGTGCATATTGTCATGTCATTAATAATTCTTTTGAAGCATGGTATTTAATGGCAGCAAACAATATTTGATCCAGTTGGCTTTGCCAGTCTCGTATTGATGAGCATTTTGGCTACTTAAAAAACTTCCCTGTATAAAACTCTGATGAACTTTGATTGAACTGGCAATTGTTAATTACTTGATAATTATTTTTAAATTAACGAGAGTTAAATTCACTCTCCTTCCATCCTTCTCTCCTTTCATCCCTCCCTTTTTCTTTCCATCCTTTATCATGGTTTCAGAGGGCCAATATCTGCTGCATGTAAGTAGCTTTTTCCTCAAGCCTCAAGAGCATGAATTGTTCATTAAGTCACCGCACTTTCAGTAGTGCTAATACTGTTACTATCATGATCATCTAATCTAGAATGTCAAGGTTAGACTCCAGCAGTACTCGAAGTGGCATCCTGGAAGATGGAGCCACCCAGTGATGATGGAGCCTCAGGGGCAGGAGCCTTCTTGGGGATAAACAAGAACCTTGGAGGGTGAGGAGCTCAGTGGTGCCAGCTACAAACTGAGCAGCTTTACTTTTAGGGTTCCGCAACCCTAAAATAAATAGTGAAATACTTGAATTTTTTTTAAAGAAAGTTTTGATATACATTTGATTCAGTCCAACTCCATTCCCGTGATAGGTGAGAATCCTTAAGCTCAGAAACACTGAAGTGATGACATTTTTCACAGTTGTCTGCTCCCTGAGGTGAGTATTGGATTAAGGATGGTGGCGCACAGAGGTGGCTCCTTGGTGGTTTCATGAGCTGGTGGATGACCCTGGAAACTTCTTACTCTTGACTTCTTGTACTGGTAAATAATAAACCCTTATGATTTCAGCCACTTTGAGCTAGGTATTCTGTTACAAACTTACTCATCCTAAAGGGTATAAAAATCTTGGAACAATGCTTTTTATCCAATGTACTGGAATGTACTGCTCAGATATTACCTGGTCTGGGAAACACTCTCCAATGATCTGTTATGCTCTGTGTTAAGTAGGTCAGAGGTGGACCTACCGTTTTGATATTGAGTCAGAGTCTTGAATACACTTTCATTCAAGCTTTTGGGTGGCCTCAACCCTTATTTTTCTCCGCGGGAAAGGAGACCAGGAGGGTCCCATGGTTTCATTGGGGCTAAGCCTCTTCTTGCCTGCCTCCTCCTCATGTGACTCTCTTGCTCAGGTCCATCTTCATAAGTAGCAATTTCAGGTGCCCATTTGCTCCCCACAAAAGGTGAGTGACTCTGTTTACAATAAATCTCAGTGTGGTGTGCATGTTAGCATTCCCTGCACTTGACCTTGGTGGAACAGGTGGGTGGGTAGTGAGAAGAACGAGTGAGCAGAGCAGCAAGGGGAGAATCAGTCTTGTGTGTGATCAGCTGTGGAAGATCTCACCGGGGTGACTCAGTCACTTTTCCTTTTCTCCCTTTTCCTGTTCCCTCTCCCCGCCCCCCACAGTATCTCACAGCACATGAGCCAGCATCTGTGGCCACCATGTCCCCAACGGTGGCCGTGGCATCCTTATGGGGCCTCCTAGATCATTAGGTCTGGAGTGGGGGAAATTGAGCTCAGAGGAGGAAGATCTTTTTTGTGGGATGGGGTGGGGGAGGGTGTGCAGAGCTCAGCAGGAGCCTCAGGAAGTCCCCTCCGGGGGCACGTTGAGAAGACACAAGTGTGACCGAATGACTTCAGTAGGCATTGTAAATCTGCAATTATACCTGAGGACTCAGTGACTCGCGTTTGAGGTCTCCATCAGCTCCATTTGCAGAGTCAAGCCCTATAAAAACAGGGCGATGGGATGGTAAATCAAGCTTCCCAGGGAATCGTGGGATCCTGCCGCAGTAGGCTTGAGCACATAAAACGGAAACTTGCCTTTAATGGCACGGTTCTTATTGTCATGCTGTAGAGGCCACCTTGGAGGTACATAGAGGTGCTTTTGGAAGAAAAGAGACCAAGTCCTCACTGCACTTGGTCTCTCCTGAGGATGCTCAGCTTCTGTGTCCTCCTTGTGTGATGTCTGTGGGCGGAAGGCAAAGCAGGGTAGCGGTGGCTGAAGAGGTCTCATCTGGTTAACCAGACCAGGAAACTTCAGTTACCTCTTTAATGTCACTGCGGAACCTACGGTTGCCACCATCCAGCCCTTCCAAACAAGAACATGTGTTCATCTTAGGAACCAGCAGAGGGTAGAGTGCTCATGGAAGTGGCCTCTGCATGAGAGTCCTCTGATCTGGATTATGGAAATGTCCTTCATTCATTATTTAGTTTCTCAGCATGTGTTCTTTCACCACAGAAGAAAACTTCAGTATTTCAGCCATTTGGGGCCAAAGTTCGTCCTACTTATTGGACATAAAGTTAATTATGATTATTTTCAGTAGTCCCTGCTAGTAAGGAAGGGGGATTTATCAAGGGTGA